CTGGAAAAGATTTGGAATTCTCAAACAGGAGTGTTAGCTTGCCTACCCAAAGACTACTAAACCCTATACAGCAAACTTGATTTATTAATTATTTATTAATCTTTTTATTTATATTATTAGTTTGTATTTAATACAGTATTATATTATTATATTAGTTATTATAATTATTAATTTATAAATCTACATTATATTGTATTTCAATCTTTTCAACAATTGTTAAAGGAGAAGTACAGCCAAAGCTCGTTTAGCTGTACGTCTCCTGCGGATCATAGAAGTGCAGTTAGTTCTGCACTCCTGTGACCCACTGTCGGCTGACATCACAGAGCAGGTCCAGGTTGGGGAAGATTGCAACCATATGGTCATGATGCACCCAGGAGCCTGGACTGGCTCCTGGCTCAGCCTTTCAGCGAGCTGCTAAGAGCCTGAGCCAGCTGCTCTCGCCCCCTCCACAGCCCAGCGTTCCAGTGAGTGCTGGGGGGGTGCTGAGCAGACAGCAGTGACTGACTGTCACCACTCTCTGCTCAGAGCAATAGGGAGAACTAAGCGATTAGCAGTGTTTGATCGCTCAGTTCTCATCTTTTGAGGTGGAGATGGATCAATGCTGCATCCACCAAGGTAGGTACGATAAAAAAAAACAAAAAAAAATCTAATACTACTCTTTTAAGAAAAAAATTAGTCTCCCAAGGAAGAAAAAAATACAATCTTACAGGCAATCTACATTATACTGAAAACCTTGAATTCTCCTATAAACAAAAATTTGCTGAATTTATAAACATTACACATATCGCTGGCTGTAATCTCTAAATAAATATAGCACCCTCCTAGGTAGGTTGTTAACAGTAGAGGCAAATGTAGTTTTTGGCTCCCCTGTAGCATAGAAGCAGTGTTCAGTTTCTTCATTGCTGTTTTATGTTCTGCCGGTTGCAGTCTCTACTCCTTTCCCCTGGATTCTGGCAGGTTCCAGAATTTAGTGGGTGGAGGAGGCAGATCCTCACCTGCATATTCATGCAGCCTCAGCCAATCCCAATTGAAGTCATTACATTTTGTGGCCATGCTTTGCACCCATTTTTTCTCCACCAATTCTCAAGGTAGAGATTTCCAGGACGTTCTTGGGCCAGTTCTCCTGCTCATTATATGCAGACTTGAAATCAGATGCAGTTTATATTGCCTTGTTATCTAAGTGTTCTCTTGTTTCAATAAATGATGCCTCTTTGCACTCCGCAGACATTTGAATAGGATTCATGTATCAGCAGAAGAGGAGACTTCCCCACACACATTGACAGAGGAAGAGAGGAAGGAGATCTATTTTCCGATATGACTGCAGCTGAAAATAACTGCTATCACAAAACTGTACGTTTATTGGTAATGTACAGTGCTGTCTCTGCCATGTCAATACTGAACTTGTAAATTACAGAAGCTACACACGCAGGCAGCCTGTTTCCATATACAGTGGGGCAAAAAAGTATTTAGTCAGCCACCAATTGTGCAAGTTCTTCCACTTAAAAAGATAAGAGAGGCCTGTAATTGGCATCATAGGTAGACCTCAACTATGAGAGACAAAATGAGAAAAAAAAATCCAGACAATCACATTGGCTGATTTGGAAATAATTTATTTGCAAATTATGGTGGAAAATAAGTATTTGGTCAATATCAAAAGTTCATCTCAATACTTTGTTATATATCTTTTGTTGGCAATGACAGAGGTCAAACGTTTCCTGTAAGTCTTCACAAGGGTGGCACACACTGTTGCTGGTATGTTGGCCCATTCCTCCATGCAGATCTCCTCTAGATCAGTGATGTTTTGGGGCTGTCGCTGGGCAACACGGACTTTCAACTCCCTCCAAAAGTTTTCTATGGGGTTGAGATCTGGAGACTGGCTAGGCCACTCCAGGACCTTGAAATGCTTCTTATGAAGCCACTCCTTCGTTGCCCAGGCAGTATGTTTGGGATCATTGTCATGTTGGAAGACACGTTTCATCTTCAATGCCCTTGCTGATGGAAGGAGGTTTGCACTCAAAATCTCACGATACATAGCCCCATTCATTCTGTCCTGTACATGGATCAGTCGTCCTGGTCCCTTTGCAGAGAAACAGGCCCAAAGCATGATGTTGCCACTTCCATGCTTCACAGTAGATATGGTGTTCTTTGGATGCAACTCAGCATTCTCTCTCCTCCAAACACGACGAGTTGTGTTTCTACCAAACAGTTCTATTTTGGTTTCATCTGACCATATGACATTCTCCCAATCCTCTTTTGGATCATCCAAATGCTCTCTAGCAAACTTCAGACGGGCCCGGACATGTACTGGCTTAAGCAGGGGGACACGTCTGGCACTGCAGGATCTGAGTCCCTGGCGGCATAGTGTGTTACTGATGGTAGCCTTTGTTACGTTGGTCCCAGCTCTCTGCAGGTCATTCACTAGGTCCCCCGTGTGGTCCTGGGATTTTTGCTCACCGTTCTTGTGATCATTTTGACCCCATGGGGTGAGATCTTGTGTGGAGCCCCAGATCAAGGGAGCCCTCTCTCTCTCTCCCCCCTCTCTGTCTCGTCTCTCTCCCTCCCTCTCTCCTCTCTCTCTCCCCCTCTCCCTCCCCTTTCTCCCCCTCTCTCCTCTCTCTCCCCCTCCCCCCCTCTCCCCCCTCTCCCTCTCTCTCCTTCTCTCTCCTCTCTTTCCCCCCTCTCTCTCTCTCCCCCCCTCTCCCCCTCTCTCTCCCCCCCTCTCCCCTCTCTTTCCCCCTCTCTCTCTTCCCTCTCCTTTTCTCTCTCTCCCCCCTCTCTCCTTTTCTCCCCCCCATCCTCTCCCCCCTCTCTCTCTCTTCCCCCCACCCTCTCTCCCCCTTCTTCTCTCCCCCCCTCCTTCTCCCTCTCCCCCCCCTCTTCTCTCCCTCTCTATCCCCCCTCTCCCCCTCTCCTTCTCTCTCTCTTTCCCCCCCCCCCACTCTCTCTCTCTCTCCTCTCCCCTCTCTCTTTATCCCCCCTCTCTCCCTCCCTCCCCCTCTCTCTCCTCTCCCATATCTCCCTCTCTCCCATTCCTTCCCTCCCTCCTCTCTCTGTCTCCTTCCTCCCTCTCTCTCGCCCTCCTCTCTCGCTCCCTCTCTCTTCTATCTCTCCTCTCTCTCCCCCCCCCTCCCCTCCCCCTCTCTCTCTTTACATTGTACACAGATCTGACCCAACAAGGTGTCCTGCATTTACCGTATATTTCGCTCCATAAGACACACTTGGGGGGAAATGTCTGTGCGTCTTATGGAGCAGCCAGTATTCCCGCCGCCGTTGTATGTCCGCAGTCTCTGGTCATCTCCTGTACTGTGTCCGCATTTGTTCATAGTTTTTTTTTTTTAAAACTATAGTCCGGCCCTCCAACGGTCTGAGGGACAGTGAACTGGCCCCCTGTTTAAAAAGTTTGAGCCCCTGCTTTAGAGCCTTGTAGAGACTGTGCTACTACATGTAGCGGCATGTTAGCCTGATTGAGTTGCAGAGACATTGCTTCTCATGTTTCTGTGAATTGGCGGTGGAGCAGTTGAATGACAGGATTCCACTCTCCATTCACAGAACATCATGCATTGTGAGATGAGTTCTATGAATGGATGAGAGAGTAAAAGGGGGTGCGTTGGGTGGGAACTTTTCTGGGTAGGCAAGGCTGCAGATAACTTTTACAGAACCAAAAGACAGCCACAAAGGACAGTGCCCAATTGCGGTGAGGAGGCACAAAGGGGAAGATCTGTAGCATAAGCAGACACCTTCAGGAAATGGTAATACACATCATTACACATAACTAATATGTATGGTGTTGTATCTAAAAAGAAATATTTTAAACTTCAGCTTTAATCTCTGTGTGATCATTCAGCCAATTATCCGGTCTGTTAGGCTAAGTTCCTACTAGCCAATCTTCTGAAAAGCAATACACATTTTCAGACTGTGGCATTCTGGAGACAATCCAGCTGCCTTCTAAATGCCTGTTGATTTTTTTTTTTTCTTGCTGAACAGCAGTTTATAATGGGGCTATTGTGCTGGTGGGGGGGGGGGGGATAGTTTTCAAAGGTCTTTCTTTAATTGTTTCTGCTCAGTGTACATATATATGGCCTGGGCAGCAAGTGGTTAAACTAGAATCATGGCTGCAGCTGCATGCATGATCCTGGTACTTTTTTTTTAGAGCCAGCGATCGGCTTTCCCGTAATATTGATCTGAGTGGCTTAACAGCCACCCAATCACTTTTACAGCTCAGAAGGGCCCCCCTCACCATCATTTGTAACCATTCCTGGACTCTCCTATTCCACTAGGGATCCTGGGACCAATGTAAGAGGTCAGGATGGCTGCCCACAAAGGAGATGGAGGACTGTCCATTTCTAGATCTTTTCTGTGACGAATGAAGCCAGAAGCGACAAGGATTTTGTCACTTCCAGTAGTAGTGCTGTCATTCGCTGGCTGGTGCAGACAGGAAAGCAACTGATCAAACATGTTCTGTGTTTGATCAGATGCTTTGAAGAACAGGGGAGAAAGTACTTGTTACTGCTCATAGTCATCACAAGGGGCTTGTTCACCCGTTTGATAGCAATAAAGTTAAAAACAGTTTTAAAAATTGTAAAAATAATTTTAAAAAATTATAAAAGCACCTCCATAAACGGTGATTGCACCACACATTTAAGGTATCACTGTGAACGTTAGAGTGAAAGCAATAATTCTAGCACAGGGGCTCATGTTTAACTCTAAACTGATAACCTTTAAAAGGCTTTTAAAGCATCGTCTATGGACAATTTTAGGTACCGTAGTCAGTCATACAGGCAAGCACAATTTTAAATCTTGTTTGGTATCTATTTACTCGATAAAACATCACATTCTATATTGTACAACAAAATTGTGTATTATATTGTGTTTGTGTGCATTAAAATTCATGATTTTTTGATCCATAAGACGCCCCTGACCATAAAACACACCTAGATTTTAGAGGTGGAAAACAAGAAAAAAAATATTCTGAACCAATGGACTGCAAACACAGTACAGGAGATGACCAGAGACTGCAGACATAGTACAGGAGATGACCAGAGACTGCAGACATAGTACAGAGGATGACCAGAGACTGCAGACACAGTACAGGAGATGACCAGAGACTGCAGACACAGTACAGGAGATGACCAGAGACTGCGGACAGTACAGGAGATGACCAGAGACTGCGGACACAGTACAGGAGATGACCAGAGACTGCGGACAATACAGGAGATGACCAGAGACTGCAGACATACTACAGGAGATGACCAGAGACTGCAGACATAGTACAGGAGATGACCAGAGACTGCAGACATAGTACAGGAGATGACCAGAGACTGCGAACACTGTACAGGAGATGACCAGAGACTGCAGACACAGTACAGGAGTTGACCAGAGAATACAGACATAGTACAGGAGATGACCAGAGACTGCGGACATAGTACAGGAGATGACCAGAGACTGCGGACATAGTAGAGGAGATGACCAGAGACTGCGGGCGTACTACAGGAGATGACCAGAGACTGCAGACACAGTACAGGAGATGACCAGAGACTACAGACACAGTACAGGAGATGACCAGAGACTGCAGACACAGTACAGGAGATGACCAGAGACTACAGTCATAGTACAGGAGATGACCAGAGACTGCGGAAATAGTACAGGAGATGACCAGAGACTGCAGACATAGTACAGGAGATGACCAGAGACTGCGGACATACTACAGGAGATGACCAGAGACTGCAGACATACTACAGGAGATGACCAGAGACTGTGGACATAGTACAGGAGATGACCAGAGACTGCAGACATAGTACAGGAGATGACCAGAGACTACGGACATAGTACAGGAGATGACCAGAGACTGCGACATACTACAGGAGATGACCAGAGACTGCGGACATAGTACAGGAGATGACCAGAGACTGCGGACACAGTACAGGAGATGACCAGAGACTGCGGACATAGTACAGGAGATGACCAGAGACTTTGGACATAGTACAGGAGATGATCAGAAACTGCAGACCTTTGGTGAGCCGGGTACTCGCTCCCACTTCCGCGGAGTTGTCCTCCCCCCTCCCTCCCTGTAGTCTTGTGGAACACGTGGCAAGTCCCAGAAGACTACGGGGCCATTCACAAAGCGCAGCGCTTCTCGTACATGCGCAGTGGGCACCTGGCTGTGAAGCTGCAAGCTGTCACAGCCGGGTGCCCACATCGAAGATGCCAGCACGAGGGAGAGAAGATGGCCAGTGAAAGTAGGACACCGCTGGACCGAGGAACAGGTAGGACCGAGGAGCGGGTTCTTCTGCACAGTAGAGCCGAGTGTCCTGCCTGGTATTCTAGCACGGCGGCTGTGGGAATACCATGCCGGCTGCTCCATATTCACTCCATAAGACACACAGAAATTTCCCCCCATTTTTTGGGGGAAAAAAAGTGCGTCTTATGGAGCGAAAAGTACGGTAAATGTATTTTTTCCTAATAATTTGCATTTGATAAATTGCTGTGCAAATATCGTGTGAGATAAAAAAACTACAACAACCGCCATTTCATTCTCCAGGTCCTCAACTTTCAAAAAATATATAATGTTTGGGGGTTTCTGGCAAATTTATAGCAAAAAATGCTGATTTTAACATGAATGTGAAAAACTTAAAAATTTCCCCTGTAGGCAAGTGGAAACATCCCTCTTTTCTCTACAGCTCTATAAATTAATATTATGTTTAAATACCAGAAATATATAAATTATGTTTTACTTGTGTTAAGAGCCCGGCCTGTATTGTACTGTATTGCTAAAATATCAATCACGACAAGTGTAAAGACAAAGATAGGAATTAATAAAAAGTATCTGAAACCAATTTTGTCTCAACTGGTGACATCTTCCATCTTTAATTTTTTTATAACACATTTAAAAAATGAATATTTAAATATTTCAAAACTGTTTGGCTGTACTGCATCTGCGACCAAGTTTGTCTCAGACTCTTTTTTTATTAATTCCCCTCAAAAGTGTTGGTCCTAGTGATAAACAATGAAATGTTTATTTTTATTTCTTTTGGCTAATAAAGAATGTAAATTGCTTTGGGGAGCACAGCTATTTCTAAACAATTGTTGGTGCATTGACGTGACCTCTATTTTTTTTTTTAGTGAGAAAACATTGATCTAAAAAGTCAGTTTTTAACAGGAAAGCAGAGGCACTGGCAAGAAAACCAGAGATTTCACATAAAGGAAGCAATACAAAGAGAACAGGATACTTTTTCATACAAGTACATGGTACAGCAGGCACATATCAAGAATATTAAATGTTGGGTTTTCATATTCTTCAAGTCATTGACCCACATCAAGCATTTTGCTACTGAAGTCAGCAAAAAGTCAGAACCCCTAATGGACTTGCTTGTTCTGCGTCAGTAACAGACCATTTTGAAGTCACTGGATGAGCACAATAGCTATCTGAATGGCATTTTCAGAAGCAGAGGTCAGCATTGCTCTGCGTTTTTCTCAATACTGGTTTCCTTCGTTTAAAGGTGTAAATGTGGATAGTAGTAGTTATACTAGTATAGAGCATATACTGTATCTAAAAAGACCTTCAGCTCCCACTCTCCCTAAGTTTTATTAGCCAGGGAGTATCTGCAGAGGGCACAGATTATCAGAACTGACCACAAATGGCCAGATTGGACGACAATCATTTCATATCTATGGCTGCCTTTATTTTTATTTTTTTTAAATATTGACCTTTCTATCTGTCACGACCAGAGGATAAAACCACCTGGGACAGTAAACTCAAGATCTAGCGCAGGGCTTGAAATTACCACTCGCCTGCTCGCCAATGGCGAGTGGAAATTGTGGTGGGGGCGAGTGTGTCCCCCAGGGCCGTTTTACTGTGCAGGCTCGGAGCTCAGGCCGGATCTGTCACTCGCATTGTGAGCCGTCAGACTGCTCAATAGCTGAGCACAGTGAAAGCAAAGCAAGGAGTGTGTGCTGTGCTCTCTGCCTCCCCCTAGAGTACCTGGCTCTGTGAGTGAACAACGAAGTACTGCAACTTTTTATGGGGGGGTGGGGGAGTGGTGTGTGTGTGTGTGTACGTGTACATGTGTGTGTGTGTTTGTGTGTGTATCTGTGTATGCATGTACAATTGTACATGTGTCTGTGTGTATGTACATGTGTGTATCTGTACGTGTCTCTGTGTATGTACATGTATGTGTGTATGTACATGTGTCTGTGTGTGTGTGTGCATGTAAATGTGTGTGTGTATGTACGTACATGTGTCTGTGTGTATATGTCTGTGTATGTATGTACATGTGTCTGTACGTGTGTATTTCTGTGTATGTACATGTGTCTGTGTGTATGTACATGTGTCTGTACGTGTGTATTTCTGTGTATGTACATGTATCTGTGTGTATGTACATGATTATTTCTGTGTATGTACATGTGTCTGCGTGTACATGTGTCTGTGTATGTATGTACATGTGTCTGTGTGTATGTACATGTGTCTGTACGTGTGTATTTCTGTGTATGTACATGTATCTGTGTGTATGCGTGTCTGTACGTGCCTGTGTGTGTACAAATGTGTCTGTGTGTGTGTGTGTGTACATGTGTCTCTGTGCGTGTATGTACATGTTTCTGTGTGTGTATGTACATGTCTGTGTGTGTGTACAGGTGTCTCTGTTTGTTTGTGTTTGTTGGTGGCGAGTAACTCTAAGGCCTGGTTAGTAGCTCAGGACTTGAACTTTTAAGCCCTGATCTAGTGGGCCAGTGGAATCAACTAAACTGGTGTACCCAGGTACCGGTTCTCGCACATGCATGAGCAGTGTGACTGCAAGCAAATAGAGTTGTGTCAGAGTCACAAGGTCGAAGGAGCCACTTGGTCTTCACCAGTCACTGGAGGTGTGGATGTTGCTCTGCGAGGCAGCACCCAGGTTGCGGTTCTCTAACACACCCATGCGGGCACAGTGCAACCAAATGGCACGCAGAAAGGACATGGGGTACATACAGGATACTAGGAACCAAGGCAACCTACTGCAGCATGCTAGGGGACTCCAAGGCACAGGACACAGGGAACAAGCGTAAAGAGCATGACTAGTGCACCCGAGATAGGTTCATCCAGACCCCACTACACCACCATTACCCTTCCATACCAATCCCCTTTACTTACTATACTTACAGAAAACACAACACCAATTTTGGAGTAAAATGGCCAACACAGCCTTTTATTAACAAATCAAGTTTAAATACATCAACCATTCCTTATAACAGAAAACATAAAGAGTTGTCGTTGGTCTTTGAAGTCACCCCCAAAACAATCCGAAATGCACCTGCGGACAACCATATTCCAATAGGCCTCCAGCCGCAACCAACCAGCTCGGAGACAACCATACCGTTCGCAGTGCAGCACCACCACCTTCCAGTTAAACCTCGGTTAACTGGGAATGTTCCCGGGCACACCATACCAACGATGGGTCCCACACCATTTTGTACCTCCAAGATAAGAACCGCCTCCAAAGACCAACCACCGCCCAGGAACCAAAAAATAACCCCCCCCCCCCCCCAGGAGGAACACAACATTCACCAAACAGGGAGGGCGGGAGGGAAGCTCTCTCTCCCATGTCCAGCTCCCAACTGACGCCCCTCCCCAGAACACCCCACCCTAAAGTGCAGGAGACCCCACCTACACTCTCCTCTACCAACCAGATCCCCCAGCTATCCTTTACCAACTCTAATACAATCATTAACCCTCACACGTCTTCCTTCCCGCTCTGGGCCTAGTCATGCCTGCCCTGCGCTAATTCTTTTCTTCTTTTATCGCTGCGGGCATTTCTGGAGAGTGGGGGATGCTGAGAGAAAGAAACTAAGCAAGTTGGAAAGGGCTGCAGGGCAAACAACAAGAGACAGTGCTGAGAAAGACACACAGCAACAGAAAATGAAGAGACCCACAGACAGAAACCAAAGGGAATACGACTGTACAGCCAGAGGGAAAACACTGAAAACAAGGACAGGATCAAACAACACACTGAACTTTGTAAGCTCTAAGGAGCAGGGTCCTCTGATTCCTCTTGTATTCAATTGTATTGTAACTGTACTGTTTGCCCTCACATTGTAAACCTCTTCACAAACTGTTAGTGCTGTCTAAATCCTGTATAATAATACAATAATAATATAGAATTTTCAAGCAGTGGCGAACACCACAGAAACCAGAGGGGTCCAGCTTCTATGTGAAGACATTTTGCTCGAACACTAACACACAGGTACAAAGGCTTATAGTACCTAGATTGAGGGCAGATAGGCAGAAACCCAAGCAAATCAGACAGGAGGCAAAACTCAGCACCAGATCGATGTGCATGGACGCCTGACAATATCACAATCACATGATCAGACGCTCAGTGACCCTCTGTGGAATTATTAAGCCAATACTTGTGCTATGTAAACGGTTGCCGTAACATAAATCCTGTATAATAGTAATACAGGACATCCATCTACTTTTAACTTATTTGTAGAATTGTACAATTGATGTAGGCTATTTGATTTGTAAAACTATCTCTATGTTTGGCACTACAAGGTACACCACTGAGATGCAATTACTATTGGCAACGCAAATGTTTCTCTGTT